AAAGATTTTGGCGGGAAGGTTCCTTCGCACCGGCATGCCCAGTGTTAAGGAGAGGAGGAGGGGAACCAAGATCTCCTTACTTTTTCGGGTAATACATGGAAAACACTGACCGTGGGATCAAGAGTACTGCACGGCAGGATTTGGGTCATCTCAACTGCCCCACAAACTCGTTTCTATCCTATCCGGTTGCTAGTGGGACCATGCCCCAGTTCTACTCTCTCCCAGTTCTACTCTCTCCCACAGAGCTAAGAGGGAGAAAATGAAAAAATAATAACTACCAAAAAACAGAAAATCACACCGATCTCCATATACTGTTAACATATATTTAAAAAATCAAACTAAAAAATTAAACTAAAAAATACAACAACAACAACAACAACAACAACAACAACACAAAATCTCCATACACATTACCCCGAAGCGCCGGGCCTAGGTCCTACTTGCACGAATTATGCGATATTGACCGTCGATAGCGAAGATCAACGGCCGAAATCTCCTAATCGGTGCAAGTGGGACCTTGCCCCCCGTTGCTTGCGGTAGGACGACTACCCAAGGATTGGACATAACGCTACCCGTCTTCGCCCGAATAGAACGCCCGGTCCTTATAGCTGGCATTTAGCACAAACTTTCAGTAAAGATGCAGCAAAAAAAAAACAAAAAAAAAACGGGACGTTTTATTTGAGCGAAGAAGACAGTAGCACTTTCGAAGTGTATCTGACTGGAATCACCTCGACGCTGCCATGCATCTGACCACAATCACGTCCAGAGCTGAGCAGAAAAAGGTCCTGGTGCGAGTATGCCCCGACAGGCGGCAAAAATGGCACACATGCATGCGGTAGAGGACTACCGAAGTAGGTTTTCCCATCAATTACATCCAATTAGACTTCCACCGAAGCCAAAAAAAAAAAAAAAAAAAAAAAAAGAGCTGCGCGATGAAAACAAAAAGACGAAGTCTTAGAGAGACACGCATAAATTGGAACGATACAGAGACTGAAGATTAGCATGGCCCCTGCGCTTTCAAGGATGACACGCATAAATCGAGAAATGGTCCCAAAAAAAAAAAAAAAAAAAA